GAGGGGCACATAAGATGGTGTCATTGGTTTGACCTTGGATAGTCGTTTGAAGATCACATGAAGGTCACCTTTAATTTCTTAAATGGAAACTTCAATTTTTCAATACATATTCTTGTAGCTTACCTCGAGAGCTTTCTAAAACGCTATAATGAAACGTTTTTTTAATCAGTACTTTTCGAGTTGTGATGGTTGAAAGTTACGGTACCGCCGGCATTAGCATTACCCAGTCGTGATGTATGACATGTCTGATACTGTCACGTAAGGTGTAACAAAATTCTCATTTACCAGCCATGTCGTATTCAAACGCGGAAGCTTGTGATATGATGCTTATTTTAGGTGAATGTGATGGTCAATTTAGAGCAGNTCGTTTGAAGATCACGTGAAGGTCACCTTTAATTTCTTAAATGGAAACCCCCATTTTTCAATGCATATTCTTGTAGCTTACCTCGAGAGCTTTCTAAAACGCTATAATGAAACGTTTTTTTAATCAGTACTTTTCGAGTTGTGATGGTTGAAAGTTACGGTACCGCCGGCATTAGCATTACCCAGTCGTGATGTATGACATGTCTGATACTGTCACGTAAGGTGTAACAAAATTCTCATTTACCAGCCATGTCGTATTCAAACGCGGAAGCTTGTGATATGATGCTTATTTTAGGTGAATGTGATGGTCAATTTAGAGCAGCTGCAAGATTGTGGCGAGAACGATATCCAGATCGCGCTCCTCATTCGTACAAAGTTTTTTCTCGCTTAGCTAACCGAATTACCAATAAAGGTATTCTTCAACCGGATTACAATAAAGGTAGACAAATTCGACGCCAAGTTAGAGATGAAAGGATGCCGGAGATTCTTGCATCCGCTCAATTGCATCCCTGCCATTCATTAAGACGTACAGAAAGAGATTCTGGAATTAGTCGCAGCACGATCTGGCGAATTTTCCATGAAAACAAGCTGCATCCGTACAGAATGTCTCTTCACCAAGCATTGACTATGGACGATTTTAGTTACAGATTCGAATTTTGCAATTGGATTCGTCAACAATCGCGCAACTTTAATCAGAAAATTTTATTTTCTGATGAATGCACATTTTCAAGTGACGGCTCTATAAATACATGGAACTGTCAATATTGGGCACAAGAAAATCCTCATTGGTTCCGAGAAATTGACCATCAACACGTTTGGAAAGTCAATATTTGGTGCGGAATTATTGGAAAACATATCGTTGGACCGCATATTTTTGAAGAGAACCTAAACGGTATTCGGTACGCCAATTTCATTGAAAATAATCTTCCGCCCTTGCTTGAAAATATTGCTCTACAATTGCGCCTAAACATGTTTTTCCAGCAAGATGGATGTCCAGCGCGTACATCTAGAGTTGCCCGTGAACAGTTGAACGAAATGTTTCCAGATAAATGGATAGGCAAATATGGCCCACATCATTGGCCACCACGATCACCGGACCTCTCTGTTCTCGATTACTATTTGTGGGGAGGACTAAAAGATCTGGTATACCGCGAACGCCCTTCGAAAAGAGATGATATGATTCGTAGAATACGTCTCGCTATTCGTTCTCT